GATCTTTTGGCACTCATACATACTGATGTATGTGGACCACTGAACATACCAGCCAGAGGAGGTTTTCAGTACTTCATCACTTTTACTGATGACTTCAGTAGATACGGATATGTGTATTTAATGAAACACAAATCTGAGTCCTTTGAAAAGTTCAAGGAATTCAAGAATGAAGTACAAAACCAACTAGGTAAGAATATTAAAGTTCTTCGATCAGATCGAGGCGGTGAATATTTAAGCCTAGAATTTGATGACCATCTAAAAGAGTATGGGATTCTATCCCAACTTACTCCTCCTGGAACACCACAATGGAATGGTGTATCTGAGAGAAGAAATCGAACCTTGTTAGACATGGTCCGATCCATGATGAGTCACGTCGATCTTCCAAACTCCTTTTGGGGACATGCATTATTAACAGCAGCTTACACACTTAACCGTGTTCCATCCAAAAAGGTTGATAAGACACCATATGAGATATGGAGTGGTAAGAAACCACATATGTCTTACATGAAGATTTGGGGTTGCGAGGTTTACGTCAAACGACAAATTTCAACCAAGCTTGAGCCCAAATCTGACAAATGCTTATTTGTGGGGTATCCTAAAGAAACAAGAGGATATTACTTCTACAATCCTTCTGAGGGCAAAGTGTTTGTCGCTCGAACTGGAGTCTTTCTGGAAAGGGATTTTATTTCCAAAGGAAACAGTGGGAGGAAAATAGAGCTTGAAGAAATTCAAGAATCACAAAACATTGAAACACCTATGGAGGAACTAGAGCGGGAAACACAAGTAGTTGTGGAAGAGCAACCTGCTCAAGAAGAACAAGACCAGCGTAGGTCAAGCAGGATACGTCACCAACCTGAGAGATATGGATATCTCATAAGTGATCAGGGTGATGTATTACTCATGGATCAAGATGAGCCTGTGACCTACAAAGAGGCCATAACTGGTCCTGAGTCTGAGAAGTGGCTAGAAGCCATGAAATCTGAAATGGATTCCATGTACACAAACCAGGTTTGGACCTTGGTAGAACCTCCTATAGGAGTTAACCCTATAGGATGCAAGTGGGTCTTCAAGAAGAAGACTGACATGGATGGTAAGGTACATACCTATAAAGCAAGACTGGTTGCAAAAGGCTATAAACAAATTCATGGGGTTGACTATGATGAAACCTTTTCACCAGTTGCAATGCTTAAATCTGTTCGGATTTTACTTGCCATCGCTGCATATCATGATTATGAAATATGGCAGATGGATGTCAAAACTGCTTTCCTTAATGGGAATCTTCTTGAGGATGTGTACATGACACAACCTGAAGGATTTGACATACCACAAGATGCCCAAAAGATATGCAAGTTACAGCGATCAATCTATGGATTGAAGCAAGCTTCCAGAAGCTGGAATCTTCGTTTTGATGAAACCGTAAAACAATATGGATTCATCAAAAATGAAGATGAACCTTGTGTCTACAAGAAGGTTAGTGGGAGCATGATCGTGTTTCTGGTATTATATGTAGATGACATATTACTCATTGGAAACGATGTCCCTACCTTGCAACAAGTGAAAACTTGGTTAGGGAATTGTTTTTCTATGAAAGACCTAGGTGAAGCAGCCTATATATTAGGAATTAGGATCTATAGAGATAGATCACAAAAACTGCTTGGCCTAAGTCAGAGTACATACATAGATAAAGTGTTGAGACGCTTTAATATGCATGATTCCAAGAAAGGATTCATACCTATGCAACATGGTCTGTGTTTATCAAAAACACAATCCCCTTCAACTAAGGAAGAAAGGGATCGCATGAATAAGATTCCATATGCATCTGCAATAGGATCTATCATGTATGCCATGTTATGTACTCGACCAGATGTCTCGTATGCATTAAGTGCAACGAGTAGGTACCAATCTGATCCCGGTGATGCTCACTGGGTAGCTGTCAAGAATATCCTTAAGTACTTGAGAAGGACTAAGGATTCATTCTTGATATATGGAGGTCAGGAAGAGCTTGATGTAATTGGTTACACTGATGCTAGCTTCCAGACAGATAAGGATGATTTTAGATCACAATCTGGTTATGTGTTCTGTCTCAATGGTGGTGCTGTGAGCTGGAAAAGTTCAAAGCAAGAAACAGTTGCTGATTCTACAACTGAGGCCGAGTATATTGCTGCCTCAAATGCAGCAAAGGAAGCTGTTTGGATCAAGAAGTTCATTAGTGAACTTGGCATAGTCCCTAGCATTGTGGATCCCATTGGTTTATATTGTGATAACAATGGTGCTATCGCACAAGCTAAGGAGCCTAGATCTCACCAACGATCCAAACACATACTTAGGCGTTATCACCTCATTCGAGAGATAATCGATCGGGGAGATGTGAAGATATGCAGAGTACCTACACTTGACAATATCGCTGACCCATTAACAAAGCCTCTTGCGCAACAGAAGCATGATGGTCATACTAGATCTATGGGTATTAAGGGTATGCCTAATTGGCTCTAGTGCTAGTGGGAGATTGTTGGTGTAAGCCCTAGAGGCCAATATTTTTTGGTACTTGTATCAGATTATTCGTTTAATAATAAAAGGCATTTCTTTATTATGTTTGTCTTTCAGAATAATAAAGTCCCTAGAATAGTTAGTCTGTTTAATGAAATGTTAAGTGTGACTTAATCATGAGATCCCATTAAACATAAAGACATTATTCTTAAAATATCCGTAGTCAAGCTTTATTGCAAAGTGGGATAACATTAAAAGCATTGAGACTATTATGAAGATAGACTGATGATCACATCTCATGGATCATGGATAAAGAGTTATCAAGTCTTGATATAGGTATAAATATTAGGAGTAATATTTATACCGGATTGACCCGCTATGAGAATACTACATAGTATGTTATGCAAAGTGTCATAAGTTATTCTCATGGTGATAATGGTGTATTACCACCCTTCGACCTGAAACCACTATGGACCCTAGATGTAGAGTCGGGTGCTTTATTGCTGATCAAACATTATCCGTAACTGGATGATCATAAAGACAGTTGATGGGCACTCCACGAAGCATGCTGAGGGACATGAGTGTCCTAGATGGAATTTGCCAATCCTGCATAACAGGAGAAATGTCTAAGGGCCCAATATTGAACTGGACAAGGATGACACAGTGTATGCCTTGTGTTCAATATAGACATAGGGGCAAAAGGGTAATTGTACAAACATATATTATCACGAAAAAGGTTTTGTCAGATCACATGACATTTTCGTGACTTGGGTAGCAGTGATGTGTTGCTAGATACCGCTTACTGTTTATTATGTTAAATATATATAATTTAATATAATTACCAACGTTACGAAATCCTACAAGGTCACACACATAAGGACAGTTTGATGAGAGATAGAGAAATCAAAGGAACACCGTAAGGTACGGTGCACTTAAGTGAAAAATAGAAATTCGGATAATATAATAATAATTATTGTTATTTTATAATGGTTATAAAATAATAATAAAATAAATATATTTATTATAATAATAGTTATTATAATAATATATAATATTATTATGGATCATGTGAATTAGGGTTTTAGCCCGCAGCCCACAAGAGAGTCTATAAAAGGAACCCTTGTGATGAAGCTTTCACTTGATGCAATTTCGTTTTTGATTCTCTTTTCTCACTCAAATAATTCCGTTCGTAAGCAGCTAGCACTGTGACCGGAAGCTGTTCGTGTGGACTGAGTAGAGGCGTTGCACTTCATCAACGCTTGTGATCGCTGCATCAAAGATCTGAATCGCCACAAAGAGGTAACGATTCTATCACTGACCATGCTCATTCGTGAGGATCACTAAAGGAAAATTTTTGTTTTCCGCTGCGTTTAGATCGCAATTTTCCTTCATAGACAACTACTTGAAAATATAAAATATCACAGTTGGTCTAGTATACATGGAACTTATGCCAATGATTCATTAATAATATCACTTATTTTGAATCATAGACACACTGAAATCGAAGAGGTCAGAAAACATGCATGCGGATAAACAGACAATCCAATATTAAGCACTTCTAATGTTAACTACTATAATCATAGCAAACCAGTCTTTTTAAATGGGAGTGAAGAATAAGAATGGAACGAAATATCACATCAACAATGATAGCCAAACAGGCAATGAAAAAAAAAACAAGAGGAAAATGTGGCTGATCAACATTGTTGCACATAATTTTAGAACAAAATAACAATTAAGCTCCCCTCCATTCCTATATGTAAGGCCTCTAAACTAATTCACGGGAGTTAAGAAAATTTGTTAATTTCTTTGTTTGCATTAAATTTGTTAATAATTTGAGTTATTTTTCCAAATTTTCCCTTTAAAGGTATTGAGCCCACCAACTAACTTTTTGTACCTAATTAGCTTGTATTAGGAGTTATCAACCCCCTTCTTCCCCAATCTTATAAAAGAGGGATGATGAAGTAATTACGGGTATTTTGGTAAGAAAAATACTTAATGTGACATAACTTAGAAGGAATCTTATAAAAAGGAACAAACAAATTATCAAATGAGTCTTATAAGAGGGATCGGAAGAAGTATAACTTAACTTTATAATGGTAAAATATCAGATAGAAGAAGAAAATTTATGAAAAAGATGGAGTGAACTCCAACCAAAAAAAAAGACATAAGAAATATGCACTATTGGACTCAGGGGTTACATTACAGGGCCTGGGATATTAAAAATTTATACTAGAAAAGAAATAGAGGACAAGTAGTAGCAAGGTGATAGGAGGTATACACACGAGGAGGTATCATTGTATCTAATTCTATTCTGTATTGCTGTTTAATACAACTCCTTGTGTCCTTTCCGTCTATTTTCTAAGAAATACTTCTTAGCTTTTTATTTTAGCTGTCAATTTCCCTAATACAATTGTTAATATCTAAAACAATAGGTCAGATCTTTTGCTGCTGGATATGTAAAATACTTGATAGCAGTAATATAACATAAACAATCATTGCTAACACAAACTTACTTGTGTTCTGATTCATCTTGTACAAATGCATGAAGTGCTTCAACTGCTAGGGAGAACGACATAAACAAAAGAAACAGCTGTCTACACATGCAACCGAAGAAAAAAACTCAATATGTTAGTGCACATGATGTAATGTAGAGAGTAATGATGTCATGCACCAAACACGAGATAAAACTAGAAGTTCACTACAGTTTACTTGAATCAGTCACATCAAATTCTGTTAAAACCACGCAAGAGGTCCCTTAAGGACACAATAAACATTGTAACATCCAATCATTGATATACAGTATAAATAAAAAGTTGTATGAGAGCTTGAGTATAAGTTCTCTCTATAATCAACATGGGAATGATGGTAAACTCTGCATAAGCTGCTTCTATAACTATCTTGGAGAGCTTATGAACATAAGCTAAAAATAACTTATTGGCATGTCAAATTATTGAGTTTAAATTATTTTCAGAATAAATCGGTTTTGCATTGGCGTCTAATGAGAGCTCACTATTTTTCCATTTCATATCATTAAATCCTATATGCAGTTACAAAAGTAGACTGACGTGACAGACCAATTGATTTTCATTGGACATTGGTTGAAAATTAGCTTACATTGTATGTCCATTACACTATATTACATTGCAAGTGCAGCAGAAAAGGAATGCGGAATACTTACAGCATTTGTAAATGCAGACAGGACTTCTAGTCTTTTATACCTGAAATTAAAGTACATCAATAAAACCATTAACAGGATTGAAATGATTAATCAAACAGTAAATAATAGTTTCAATAATATCTTTAGTAACAAACATACAGCAATACACATTCATATTCTTGCATGCAAAACATAAGCACTGACAATTTGACATACAGACAATGGGGAAAAATTATCTTATAGTAAATGACATGCACATGTAGACTCGTAAATATGTGTGCTGGGAAAGTTTGAAAAAAGTAATTACAATATTGATGATAACTATTTCCAGAAGAAGTACTCTATCCCACTTCCTAATACTTTACACATCATAATTCAGTTACAAAGTAAGTATGTGATGTTACTGTACCTACAAATGGTCCTGCATTGCACAATACAATACATGAAACAAAAATCTCACCCATAAGTATAAACTCCATCAGGTTTTTTTCTAGACGCCCCCATAACAAACAATGAAAACGTGAGAAGACCGCACCCAAATGTCAAGTGAACTGCATCAGACACCAAACCTAAAACAGCATAGTAATAAATTTAAAAAGTCAACAAGAGATTCAATTTCTCATGAAATAAATAAAACCATAAGCAATAAGTAAATGTTTGAGAAAAAAAAACTTATAAGTTGTTCTTAGCTTATTTTCATTGCTTATTTTGATAAAGCCACGCATAGAAACAGCTTATTCGAAGTTTATATGGAATTTACTCTTGTTTGTCTCCATGATAGAAAAATCCTATGCAAGATAAGCTTGGGCTTTGTTTAGATAAACAGTTTAATTACGTGCTTATGATACAAGTGTTAATCATATAAGTGCATATGTATGTATATGTCCGTATGTATAAGTTATCTCTATGATAAAAGACAAAATGATCAAATTATTTTCATATAAGCTATAAGTTGTTCAGTATTATGGAAATAAGGTGAAAACAGCTTATAGCTTATATCACTACATAAGCTCAAATAAGCAAATCGAAATATACCCTAAGCAAACAATTGTTAAAACTAAAATTGAAATTTGAAATTGAGTTCAATATAGAATCTTACCAACACGGCCAGTGAAGAGGCCGATGAGCAACTCAACAGTAGAGTAAGCAACATTAAGCGAGATCATAAAGAACAATCTCTTCATATACCTATGACCAGCCTTAACATTTCGAAAAAAGGAGAAAACAAATGACAAAAACGACTGTTTTCGCGGTGAGCCGGAAGGTTTATCGTCATGGCCGGACCAGTAGTGATGGTACGGTCCAGAAGAGGGGATGTCTATGCTGGAATCAGTTCGTGAAAGAAAGGGTTTTCTGAAACTCAAGTCGGTTGAATCAGTGGAAATCGGTGTGCGGGATTGTTGGAAAGAAGGTTGGCGTGAAAAGGCGAATCGTCGATCGCTGGAGCCGGTGAAGCCGAAATCGCCGTTGAGAGAACCGAGAGTTTCTATCCCCTCCGTCATGGAAATTGGAAATGATGATTGTTGTGTCGCTGAAACCTTCACAGTCAGAAAAAGTACCAAGTCAAAGTAAACTTTTATTAAAGCTATAAGCGTCCATTTTATGATATTTTTATATTTTTATTTATTTATCAATCTTTTAATTTAAAACTAGTAATAGTTTTTGGTGGGTTATGGTTTTTGACCCCATTTTATTTACAATTTATTTACAGAAGCTTATAAAAATAAAAAGTTTAAAATAGAAAAAATTTAAAAATAATATTAGTAAATTTAAATTAAATTTGAAATACAAAATGAAATATAAACAATAATATTATAAATAATATCATTAATAATAAAAACTATAAAAGTTTGTATAAATAAATCAATAGTTTTAATTTTTTTATAAATAAGACAATTAATTTATAAGAATAATACAATTTTAAAATATTTAATCATTTTTTAATAATTTCTCTTAATTTTTTTACACATTTAAAAAAAATATGTATACATTTTTATAATTCAATATTCTCGTTTATAACAATAATATATTTTTCTTGTGTATATAAATATTTTAATCAATAATTTATTTTTTTGTATATATTTGCTTTGATAGTATTTAAAAAATTATTTAAATTAATAATCAAGTTATTTTCATAAATATATTTATGCAACTATTGTTTTAATTTTATATTAGTAATATGCATTTTTAATGTTTGTTTTATATTTAATAACATACAATTTTTAGCAACTTATTGTTTTAGTTTTATATCGGTAGTTTATTTATTTTACCATGTAATATCATATATTTGTATTAATAACACAAAAATATTTCTTCCACTAACTACTTTATTTAGTAACTTAGTAATTTTATATTTAAATCAAAGATAATTAGTAATTTTAAAATGTTCTTACTATTTTAAAAAATATGAATAATTTATAATTTTTTAATATTTAAATCAATAGTTTTATTTGTCACATATCATATTAATAAATTTTGAAAAAATTGTCGATAATTTTTCACAAATGTCCATTAAAATGGTTGATAATATTTCAAAAATTGAATTTCAATAGAATTTATTATATCTTCAATTTTAAATAAATGATATTTAAAATTTTTACTTGCAAATTAAAATATAGAAGAATGTTGTCAAAATTCATTAACTATTGATATGCTTTCCATCATCATAAATTTAATTTAAAATATAATATTTAAAAATATTTGAATCAATAGTAAAATTATTTTTATATATAAATAATATTTTTGTTTTGATATTATTCAAAAATATTTGAATCAATAGTAAAATTATTCTTGTTTATAACAATAAAACTGTTTTTAAAAAATTGGATCAAGACTATATATATATATATATATATATATATATATATATATATATATATATATATATATATATATATATATATATATATATATATATATATATATATATATATATATGTGTGTGTGTGTATGTGCGTGTTTTTTTTTCGTAATTACAATAATGAAACACGTTTATGAAAAACAAAAAATTAAAAAGGCATTGACAATGTAAAAGAATTTTATATTGTCAACTAGTTATAGACGTCGGATATAAAAAAGAAGTTTGACTTTTGTTCTAGTAATTTATAAAATAATACAAATAAATGATAGTGATGAATTGACATTGTAAAACTTTTTACCCTGTCAATGCATTGTAATTAATCTTATAAATAAATTTATCTATTTATTCTATAAATTTATTATTTTTTAAATTTGTAATATTTTATTCAATTTGATAAATAAATTATGTATTTAGTAGCTTTAGTATGATGTATGAGCTGACATAATGGAAATTTTAATTTTGGCCAATATCTCAAAAAATCTAATTGTTGGAAAAAAAAAAAAGTAAATGTTGCAAAACATTCAAATATACATTATTTTGATGTGTTTAAAATTATTATTGTTATCCTGCTATACATATATATTATTATTTTGCATGAAAAAATAAGTTTTGAAGTAGATTCAAATTTTGCAAGAGATTCAAAATTAGCCCTACTATACATTATATTGTTTTTATTATGGTATATTTACGATGATTAAAATATATTGTTTTGGACTGGGTTAGAGACTGGCCTACTGTCGGCTACAGTCCAGCCCAACTCTTCGTTGAGGAGGATTAAATTCATCAACTTTAACAGGAAACGCTCTCGCGTCTTCCTCCACGGTCTCCACGTGCTCCCCACGCTAGGACACGTCATTAGACAACTGCCTCATACGAAAGAACAGGTCACTCACCTTCCGAAGATCACGAGGCAGTTGGACCAGGATGAAGACCATGTGCTGGTCTTCCCTACGCCACGTAGATCCTGGCAGTTATTCGTATTGGGCCTACTGATTCAACCCAACACAAAATAAATTTTGTCTCGGCGTTAGGGGCACATTATAAATATCCTATTTCACTATAGGGTCGGGTATTCTAATTCTCTACACTCTGTATTTGCTCTCTCTTTACTCTGTTTCTTACTTTGGCATCGGAGTACCTTGCAGGTACACCCCCTCCTCTTCACCACCACCGACGAACTAGAAGCTCACGACGCGTTGCTGGCTGCTGATTTCATTCTGGTCCGGTAAGATCAGTGGTGTCGTTTGTGGGAAACTCTTGCTTCCTCATTCTTTCTTTCTCAGAAACCAAAGAACTAAAGCACATCTCAACTTCCACCGATCATGGTCAGCCCACACGTTGACGATAACCTCCACGAAGCCGTTTCCACCACCTTCACCATCGGCGACGCTCATGATCCTGACATTGTTGTCCCATTCGGGGAAGGTGGCCCCAGGGACGGGCGCACTGCCTTTCCTTCCTCCAACGATGTGGTTGACAACGTCGCTGAACGGTTTAACAGTGTTGTTGTTTCTAGCCAATTCACAGGTTGCCCAACGCCGATTCGACTATGGTGGCCTTGTTCGCGGCGATCAACCAGACGAACTTGATGATGTTCCAACAAAAGAAACGGATCAGGATGCTGGAAATGAGTTGTCATCACGCTCTCCCCTAAGGAAGCATAGGCGCCCCGTTTCTCGCAGCCCCATCCCCGAGACGGCGAGAAACACATCTCATTTCTCCCCCGCGGAGACATCAACAGAACGAATTTCGAAGCCCCACACCGCGACAACATGGACGTCACCCACGGCTAGAGAGGCCTCAGCCCGCAGCGACCCATAAGCGAGACTGCAGTCTGTAACAGTCCAATTTTTATTAATTAATTACTTAAATTAATTAAATGAATTATGGGGTTTGTTTAATTAGTGGGTGATTGAATAAATGAAATTGGTAGTTTTTGGAAGGAATTAGAAGGGAAAGATATATAAAGGAAAAGTGGAAAGAAAAGAAAAGATATAAACATAAGAGAAAGGAAGAAAAAGAAAGTGAAAAAGGAGAAAAAGGAAGAAAAGAGGAAAAGCTTGGATTTCATCAAGAACAACTCTCAAGCATCGATTTAATCAAGGTAAGGTGTGAAATATCATTATCTTAACAATGTATATGATTATGTATGCTTGGGGTAGATTGTTGGATGTTATTCTCATTTTTCCATTTTAGGGCATAATGAGTTTAATCAGTAGAATCCGAGTTTTTAATGTTGAAAATGAGAATAAGTGATATAATTTATGTCGAGGAACGTTGTACTGGAGTTATGGGAACTGATTTGGTGAGAATCGGTCGGTTTTGGAGAGGATTGGAAGTTCTGAACAGTGAGGATTTCAAGTTCGCAGACGTTCGCTAGCTGTTCGCTAGGCGAGCTGGTCACGAACGCTCGCTAGGTCCTCGCTTAGCGAGTCAGTGGCGAGTGAACACAGAATGGGAAAGGTCCCCTTCGCTGGTAGCGAACGAGGTAGTGAGTTGCTCACTGGAGCTTCGCTGTGGCGAATGAGGTAGCGAGTGAAGTCTGTAGCTTCTGTTTTGGTTCGCTAGCAGTTCGCTAGGCGAACATGTAGCGAAGGTTCGCTAGCTGCTCGCTAGGCGAGTCATTAGCGAACATGACAGCATTTTGTTTTGTTGTGATTTTATTCCATGTTGATTTGTGGTTTCGATTGTGTTTGATTCTTATCGGAATGGAGGGTTATATGATGTTATATATGTGTTGTGGGTAGTTGTATGGTGTGAATCCTATATGGTTGGATTGATTATATGTGGCATTTCGGCATATATGTGTGTGTTGTTTAATTTGAATAAAAATGCATAATAAGTTGTGATTGAATATGTTGTCGTTGGCACGAGGTTGTGAATGATGCATGGGAACATATTGTTAGATATGTGTGCATTGATTGAAAATGTGATGATATTAAATTGTGAATACATATCGGTTGCATACGATTATATGCGAATAATGCATGGGAACATATTGATGAATATGTGTGCATTGTTTGATGAATATAATGATGTAAAGTATGAATACATTGATTATATGAATATGTTGTGTGTGCAATCTTGTTTTAATTCTTGAAGGGAGGAATTGTTTGAATGCATGGGATTAAGACGCGAGAACGGTATTAAGTGTATTTGGTTGTTGATTGCATATGTATCATTTAGTCAAGAGGCAATGTTTGCTAGTTTCGTGTAGACTAGTGGCTTGTCCCAAACCTAGAAGGGTGGGTTTGAAAGCTTAGGGAATGAGCTTTGTTGTTATCGGTCTAGAAGGGCGGACCCGGTTTAAGTGTAAAAACCGAAAAATGATAACAAGTGTTGGTACCACATGACATTGAGTTGCATTGAGTTGTGTTGAGTCACATAGCATTAATGTCATTGTTATATGATTTATGCTTGTGTGTAATTGATTAATTATGAATAATGGATTGGTGTATGATGAAATATGTTGAAATGACTATCCATATGTGTTTATACATGTTGTGAAATGTATGATGAGCTATGAATGAATCGTGGTGAGAAATGTGGAATATTTATATTTCTTTATTTTCGTATATGTATATATAATTATATGCATTGATTATTATGATAATATTTCTCACCCTTCTGATGTTTTATAAT